AAATAAATAAATAAATAAATAAATAAATAAATAAATAAATAAATAAATAAATAAATAAATAAATAAATAAATAAATAAATAAATAAATAAATAAATAAATAAATAAATAAATAAATAAATAAATAAATAAATAAATAAATAAATAAATAAATAAATAAATAAATAAATAAATAAATAAATAAATAAATAAATAAATAAATAAATAAATAAATAAATAAATAAATAAATAAATAAATAAATAAATAAATAAATAAATAAATAAATAAATAAATAAATAAATAAATAAATAAATAAATAAATAAATAAATAAATAAATAAATAAATAAATAAATAAATAAATAAATAAATAAATAAATAAATAAATAAATAAATAAATAAATAAATAAATAAATAAATAAATAAATAAATAAATAAATAAATAAATAAATAAATAAATAAATAAATAAATAAATAAATAAATAAATAAATAAATAAATAAATAAATAAATAAATAAATAAATAAATAAATAAATAAATAAATAAATAAATAAATAAATAAATAAATAAATAAATAAATAAATAAATAAATAAATAAATAAATAAATAAATAAATAAATAAATAAATAAATAAATAAATAAATAAATAAATAAATAAATAAATAAATAAATAAATAAATAAATAAATAAATAAATAAATAAATAAATAAATAAATAAATAAATAAATAAATAAATAAATAAATAAATAAATAAATAAATAAATAAATAAATAAATAAATAAATAAATAAATAAATAAATAAATAAATAAATAAATAAATAAATAAATAAATAAATAAATAAATAAATAAATAAATAAATAAATAAATAAATAAATAAATAAATAAATAAATAAATAAATAAATAAATAAATAAATAAATAAATAAATAAATAAATAAATAAATAAATAAATAAATAAATAAATAAATAAATAAATAAATAAATAAATAAATAAATAAATAAATAAATAAATAAATAAATAAATAAATAAATAAATAAATAAATAAATAAATAAATAAATAAATAAATAAATAAATAAATAAATAAATAAATAAATAAATAAATAAATAAATAAATAAATAAATAAATAAATAAATAAATAAATAAATAAATAAATAAATAAATAAATAAATAAATAAATAAATAAATAAATAAATAAATAAATAAATAAATAAATAAATAAATAAATAAATAAATAAATAAATAAATAAATAAATAAATAAATAAATAAATAAATAAATAAATAAATAAATAAATAAATAAATAAATAAATAAATAAATAAATAAATAAATAAATAAATAAATAAATAAATAAATAAATAAATAAATAAATAAATAAATAAATAAATAAATAAATAAATAAATAAATAAATAAATAAATAAATAAATAAATAAATAAATAAATAAATAAATAAATAAATAAATAAATAAATAAATAAATAAATAAATAAATAAATAAATAAATAAATAAATAAATAAATAAATAAATAAATAAATAAATAAATAAATAAATAAATAAATAAATAAATAAATAAATAAATAAATAAATAAATAAATAAATAAATAAATAAATAAATAAATAAATAAATAAATAAATAAATAAATAAATAAATAAATAAATAAATAAATAAATAAATAAATAAATAAATAAATAAATAAATAAATAAATAAATAAATAAATAAATAAATAAATAAATAAATAAATAAATAAATAAATAAATAAATAAATAAATAAATAAATAAATAAATAAATAAATAAATAAATAAATAAATAAATAAATAAATAAATAAATAAATAAATAAATAAAAAAATAAATAAATAAATAAATAAATAAATAAATAAATAAATAAATAAATAAATAAATAAATAAATAAATAAATAAATAAATAAATAAATAAATAAATAAATAAATAAATAAATAAATAAATAAATAAATAAATAAATAAATAAATAAATAAATAAATAAATAAATAAATAAATAAATAAATAAATAAATAAATAAATAAATAAATAAATAAATAAATAAATAAATAAATAAATAAATAAATAAATAAATAAATAAATAAATTCGACGAAAGGACTCTCCAACCCGTATGTGGTATCTGGTTCCTGTTTTAAAAAAAATGAATGACAAGTGTGAGTTTAAAGTAATTATCAATTGCTTTAGAGATAAATACAATCTAATAAAAAGATTACAATTATCAAATCAACTTAATTTTTTAATAAATGATATAAATAAAAAGTCCTATAAAATAAAAGAACCGAATTATCAAAACAAAATTTATTATTAATTTTATAAATTTGTATTTGAACTTGGGAGAAATTGAAGTATGATTAGTTGCTTAAGCGCTCATTCCAACACCGAATATAGACAACAGAACATGTAAATCAGAGAGAGAGTTCTTTGTAGAACAGAATCAGAACATTCAGCTAGTACTAGTCTCAGTCAACAGAAGCACATGTGTAATCTGAATTCCACTTTATTCTATTCAGTCTTCAGCACAGAATGTTACAATGCTTCTTATTCTTTAGCATTGTAAAGCGTTGTTTGCTTGGAGTATCTCTACCAGATTATTCATATTTATCTCAAAATATTATTAAAAAAATTATTTTTTATTTTAAAAATTATTTTTTCATCTACTTTTTTCAATACTCCTTATTTTTTTTTTGTATTTTATTAACAAATTCTATATATTTTTTTCTATTCTATCAAAATATAATTTTTCATAATAAATTAAAAAAAAAAAATCATAAATGTGCACTACAGTCCCTAAATAAAGCAAAGCAAAATAATAATAATAATAATAAAATAAAATAAAACATAAGGGTGCTACAGTGACTCCATACAAATAGGAGGCACTGTAGTAATTTCTATTTTAGGGGAGTGTTTAAAGGAGTTACTGGAAGTTTATAGAGAGCATCAAATCCTTTAAAATAGGTAAGGAGAAGCTATAAGGGTTCTATTAAGGGTGCTCTTAGAGCATCAGTAGCAGACACCCTAAACCTCTTTCTTATCTATTTTAAGGGGTTGATGGCTTTTTATATACTTCCAGCAGCACTTTTAAACATTTTTTTAAAATAAAAATTGCTACAGTGCTGAGTTATTGTAGCACCCATATATTTTTTTGGACCCAGCTTGTCTCATGTTGAGATCAAGACTGGACCGTCTAGGCTGGCCCGTTGGCTCATTTTTTGACCTTATTTCGATATGCCTAGTGTGATTCACTTTTTTCAATTCCAATGCACTAGGCATATGATTAGGCATTTTGGCTCAACTCATATTCACTAGCTACATGTAGCTAGCCTTCAACGCTAGGCAAAATGTATTCAATCATTAGGATCATTTCCCTCCATCTTTGTTGTTGACGTGGCATTCTATAAAATTAATAGTATTTGGATAAATAGCTAAAATAAAGAGCATGGTTGGAGTAAAAACATAAAACAGTTGATAGGCAAAATAAAATATATACTTTATAGTAATATTCAGATAGGTAAAATGCCTACTACCGTTGAAGATGCTCTAATGTAACCAAAAAAGATAAAAAAGATAAATCAATGTATTTTTTTAGTTCATGCCAAGTAAGCTCTCATTACAAACTCTTAGATAATATAATGGAGATTTTCCTCCATTATAACTTTGGAATGGAGAAGATCACAATCTTGTGATTCTGCCATACTACTTTTGTTACCAATTTTGCCTCCCATAAGTAGGATTGGGGGTCCCTGCTATGGAGAATTCATAGCTGTGACTGCTGTGACGTAAAACGCCACCGTTTTAAATTTTTTTTTTTAATTAATGTGAGGGTTTATTAATTCTTCTCTCACTATAACAAACAAAACAATAAACCTAGGGCCGCTGCCGTCTTCACTGTAAGCAAAAGGTCTCTATTGACATGGATTGAAATGTTAGTTTTTATTTATTTATTTTTTTATTTGTCTGCCAAAACATTTTTGTACAGGGCCACCACCGTCTTCACAGTGAGCAAAAGTCTCTATTGACATGGATTGAAAAGTTAGTTTTTATTTTTTATTTTTTTATTTCTAACATTTTTGTCTTCTCTCAAACAGATTGAACAGTGTTCTCTATTTTTGCTTCACCGTTCTTCTGCTGGATTTACAGACCATTATTGTTCAACAAACTGGTATGTATATCTATATATATATTATATGTATATATGTTTTGTATTTTGTTTTGTACAGTATGTTAGTGGGTTGAACAAGTATAATAGTTTGGTTTGTTTTTTGTGAATGGATTGAGAAACACAATTGTATATTATAAGAAATTTTTTTTATTATTTACTTTGTTTTGTACATATTATGTATTTTTGTATAAATATTATATAATTTTTTTAAGGAGTTACAATAATTTGTAATTCATAATTATTTTTTTTATAGCAATATTATGTATTTTTGTGGAAATATTACACATTTTTATAACAATGTTATTTATTTTTGTAATAATGTTATGCATTTTGTGGTCTAAAAAAAGTTTCAATAAAAAAATCTATAATCTTACTATAAAATGCGAATTTAATTTTTTAATCATAAATTGTTATAACTCAATAAAAAATGATATAACATTTGTAACAAAAATACAAAACATATATCAAAAATTTATATAATAAGAGGGCATATGGTTCACATCTTTAAGCGTGTCTGCCAAAAGATTCCCTATATTATATAATATACTAATTCTAATATAATTTTGCAATTGTATATTATAATCTACTAAGATACAATAAATTTCCAATGTTACTGTACAAATTACACATCTTTTTTTCCCTCTCCCCTATCCTTTTAATTAATTTACATTATTAATTGATTTATTAGATTTCATTGAATTGTTTAATTACTCAACATTTAAAATTAATTAATAACTTTTTTGCTCAGATTTTTGTTTCGTTTAATATATATATATATATATACATATATATATATATATATATATAATTTTTTTTTTCTCCCCATATTTGTTAGTGTTGAAATGGAGGATAGTATAATGGATGATGGTGGACTTGAGGGATGCATTGAAGAAATGGGAGAGTTGGCCAAGGATAAATCACTATATCTTGGTATGGAGTTTCTATCAGAAGAAGCTGCATATGAGTTTTATAATGAATACGGAAGAATTGTGGGGTTTAGTAGTAGAAGAGATTATTGTAACAAAAATCAGAAAGATGGTGTTATGATTAGTAGAAAGTTTGTTCGTTGTAAGGAGGGAGAGAGGGAAAAAGATAAACGGCACACGATGATAAAAAATCCTCGAAGTGAGACAAGAACAAATTGTAAAGCATTTATGCATATATCTTTTAAACGGGACTTGTCGAAGTGGATTGTGTCGAAGTTTAATAGCAACCACAACCACCCTTTGCATCTTCTTCAATGTACTTATTTGATGTCGTCTCAGAGAAAGGTATGTGATGCTCAGGGTTTAAATATTGACATAGCTGATGTAACGCCCTAAAAAAAATAACATTAAACCCATCAATATAGACATGAAATGGTAATGAAGATGAACATTCTTCTATTCATCAGAGTTTCATTACAAAAAGTATTACATGTTAACAACAAAAGCAAATGCCCTAAAGGCTTACAGCTTTCCAAGCTAACACTTGGTTACAACAAAAGAGTACTAACTCATTTACACATTAAGCCCTTGGCTTGAATATACATGTAATACATCAAAAGGGAAAAAGACAACAAAAGTCTGCCCGCCTCTAGCCTCCCAAGCTACGTCCTTGGAGGTGGCATGCTACATGTACCTGAAAATGATGTTCCCATATAGGGTGAGCCACAGCCCAGTAGAAATATACTAAACCAAATATGAACAATGACTAAAAGATTAGCAGTTGATAGATGGCTAACACTGACACTTTCCTTAATCACACTTTACATTTTTATGACGTACAAGTCCATATTACCATTCATTTTCCAATTCCTCTCAAGTTCTCAATTTATAACCATGGCTCAGAACCTGGCCAAACAACTCATATGAGACAGTAACTCATATCAAGCACCTCCCATTACATAACAGATAGCATACAAGCTATAATACATACTAACAGATAAGCATACAAGCTATATCATCACTTCCACAGATATGCATACGAGCACTATCATATTTCCAATGACAAGCATATGAGCTCTGTCAACACATTACTAGATAAGCATATGAGCTCTATCTACGGAGTCCATCCCCTATCTCCTCCCAACAACATACGGTTTAGAGGTTCATCCCCTATCTTCCCCTAAACCGCGGAGTACATCTCCTATCTCCTTCAACACAACATAATGCATATAAACAATAATTATATACATCATCAACCAATACATAACATTTAATGTATTCATTCAACCGTCATACTCAATGACACATTCCGGTGATTAGTTTTAGTTTGCCTAATCATCATGCATTGTCTACAACAATCAAAACTATCCTCCACCGATAGCCCAAAGCAGTTATTTCTAAACAGAAAATAAATGCACAAATGGATATTAAATCAACATTCCAACTAGGTGAGTGATAAATAATCCTACTACACCCTGTTTATCCCATGAATTCCCAAATCAATTCCTCATTTCTCATAATTAATTATGTAAATTAATTAACCAATGTAATTAGGGCATTTTGCATAATTTACATTACAACCCTTAGGTTCCATTTTCATTAATGTCTTAACATTAATTTCACATTTTCCATGCCAAACATGCATCTAGGTTTGATATAGTTAAAACCCCAACTCTTGTAAATTTACACAAAAGCCCCCAAACTTTCACAAATTACTAAACCAACCCCAACATCTCAAAATACTAAAATTTAAAGACAAAGCTCATAAAGAGGAGTAGGATATCCCTACCTCAAAGTTTGAGCTCCAAAGGAGATGAAGACCAAAACCAAAATGCTTCAAATTCTGAAATTTTCAGATTAAAATGTAGCCCTCGACGATCAACACAACTTTCGTAAAGACCAAAAGTGAGCAAACAACTCCTACTAGATCAAATCTAAGAGAGAAGGGCCGGTTTTAGAGTGAGAAGCTCTGAAAATGGCTTTTTGGAAAAGTAAGAGAGAGAAAAGATCTTGAAAAAGTGATCCAAAAGTCGGATCTCGGATTTATATAAAAGTCGCCCCGCTCGAGCGTCAAACTCCCCGCTCGAGCGTCAACAATCCCGTTCGAGCGGCGGATACACACTCCCAGAACTTTTGCAGACAAGTCTCCCGCTCGAGGTTCCAACTCCCCGCTCCAGCGGCACTCACACACTCTCGCTCCAGCGGCCAAACCCACGCTCAAGCGTCGAACACTGCACAGGAAATACTGGATGGGTGAAACTCCCGCTCGAGCGCCAAAACCCCCGCTCGAGCGGACAGGTCAAAAGCTGGGCAACTAGTTTTAGTTTCTAATCTCAACCAACCTGTAACAAATCTGCCCAACACATCCTATAACTCAAATACAAAGTAAGAAAGGATGTACACCAGGTAATAATCAACTACTATCATCCACGGACACATGTCCGGATCATTGTACAACAAGGGTAAACCCGGGATTGCTATAGCTAATGAGAGTGGAATATGTCTTAAGGCTTCACATGATCTTATTAGTGCTATAGCAGGAGGGAAGGAATTTGTAGGGTTCACGCAAGAGGATCAGAAAACCTACTTATGTGCAAAAAGACAGCGAAAATTGCAGTATGGTGAAGTAGGGAGTTTGTTAAGATATTTCCAGCAGCAAGTGGCAGAAAATTCATATTTCTACTATGCCATTCAGTTGGATGTAGATGAGATGATTACTAATATTTTTTGGGCTGATCATCAGATGATAACAGATTGTGGGCTTTTCGGTGATGAGGTGTCATTCGACACAACTTTTCGAACAAATAAGGAGTACCGTCCACTTGCTTTATTTTCTGGCTTTAACCACTTTAGAATGACAGTGATTTTTGGTGCAGCATTATTATATGATGAAACTGCAGAGTCATTTGAATGGTTATTTGAAACATTTTTGGATGCAATGTCAGGAAAAAAGCCTGTTAGTTTTTTCATAGATCAAGATCAAGCAATGGCTAAGGCAATTTCACAAATCATGCCTGAGGTTTTTCATGGGTTGTGCACTTTTAACCTAATGCAAAATGCTTTGAAGCATTTAGGTTACTTGTTCAAGAGTGGTTCAAAATTTAGTAGCGATTTAAAAGCTTGCATTTATGACTACGAGAATGAGCATGAATTAATTGAAGCTTGGAATTCTTTGATTGATAAATACCACTTGCAAGAGAATGAGTGGATGAAAAAAACTTGGAGAAAAAGAGAGCACTGGGCGCATGTGTATATGAAGTGGGTATTTACTGTAGGAATGCGAAGCACACAACTTAGTGAAAGTCTAAATGGAACATTAAGGGGATATTTGAAAGGTGATCATAACATTGTTCAATTCTTTACTCACTTCAATCGGATTGTTGTAGAAAAGCGGTATGAGGAAATTTCAGCAATATATGATTCTAGACAAAAGTTGCCAAGAATGAAATTGAAAAAGTCTCCCATTTTAATCCAAGTTGCGAGTTTGTACACCCCTCCTATCTTTGATTTATTTCATTGTGAGTTGGATACGTCCCTTTGTTGTCAAGTGAAGCAATTCCATGAGTTAGAAGGAGAAGTTAAGTACGTGATTGGCTTGTATGGTAATGGTGAAGAGTATATTGTGGATGGTAGGGTGGAAGTTATTGGGCTAAGAGGAGAAAAAAGCTGTCAAGAAATACATTGTACTGGTAAGAAATTTGAGAACTTTGGAATTTTATGTAGTCATGCAATCAAAGCACTTGATAGAATGAATGTTATGAAAATTCCCGAAAGGTATATATTAGGCCGATGGAGATTGGATGCAAAAGATTGTGAAGTTGAAGAGAAAAATGTTGTAGTGGATGAGGATGATCTGAAGTTGTTAATATTAGTACGTTATAGAGATCTTTGTCCAAGAATGGTGAAACTAGCAACTCAAGCATCTATGCACAAACCTGCCTATCAATTGGTTGATGAAGGAATTAAGGAATTGTGTGTAAAAGTAAATAATATGATGAAGGGAGTCGGAAATTTTGGTACCAATGAATTAGATGTGGACGACCCCAACTTTGCACAAGTTAAGGGCATAAAGAAGAAAGATGTTGGACACAAAGGAAGGGGTAGATTAAAACCTTGGCATGAGATAATGAATAAGAAGACAAAAGTTATTTCACAACCTACCCGCCTTAGTAAGGTATTACCTACGTACTTTTGAAATTTCAAATGACATGCATTTATTTTTATAAATTGTGTAAAGTATTGATAACTTTTTGAATTTCTTTAGACTATTGGTCAATCAAGCAACACTAGAAATGTTCAAAATTCAACCTCAAGCCAACAACAGGTTAGCTATTGTTTTATGTTATTTATTTATTATTATTATTATTTTTTTTATAAATTGTGTAATGTATTGATAAATTTAACAACTTATGTAGATTATTGGTCAATCAAGCAATATCACAAATGTTCAAAATTCATCCTCAAGCCAACAACAGGTTAGATAATTAACTATAACTAAAAAATAAGAGAAACTAATATTAAAAATTAATTAAGGGGAAAAATGCATAATAATCCCAATCAATGTGTTAACTCTTCAATACTCAAATGATAGTGTGATAAAATTATTATATAAAAAGCTTATTTATAGGTATTCCAAGAAACTTAACAATAATAATTAGAATTTTTGGCTGAGCAATTGTGTAGTATTATTTAGTGGTGTGAAATTGTAAGCTTAATTTCTCTCTCATTATGTGGGATAAAAACCTATAATAATAAAATTGTAAATAAGTAACATAACTTCGCGGTTGTGAACACGATCAACAAGTCGCTCTCTCGGTGGAAGTTGAAAATATCGTTGAACATTTAGTATCAATAGATTAGTAATATTTTTTTTCTTTTTTGTATATTTATTATACAATAACTTTAAGTTTACTGTATGTTTGAACATTATTATTTTTTTACTTGCTCTATCAGTGGTGTGGAGTGTTTGTATATTTGGTTATTTAAAACCAAAAAACATTAATAAAAATCTTGAAATAATGTTTATTTCTTTTTACATTCCAACATTAAGAGAAACCTGGAGGGGAAAATTATTTATTTATAATTTTGAGTTTTTAATAGAGCAATGTAAAATATCAATGCAAAATGTTACATAAGGTTTTTTTTCAGTTTTTAACGAAAAAAAAATTAAAATATATGGTCTTTGATAACTTTAAATTAAAATTAATCTTAAAATTAATTTACATCGTGCTATTAACATAACTGTCAACGACTTTTTTATTTGTATGGGTAACTCGTATTCACAGTAAGAAGCACGATAATCAAAAAGAATATATTCTCTAATACTTCGCTGGTGTCGAAACCCAAAATTCTCTATCAAACTCAGTTATACTACTTTTATCATTAGGACATCTCAGGGCTTTGATATATGTGTTCTCTTCATTTCATCCTTTAATATCACCTTTTTCTTCCGCTTTTTTCAATTTTGCTTAGACTCACTTGGATTTTATCCAAAAAGTCTAAATATTTATATTCAATATATATTTATCTATTGTTGTATTTCGACAATCCGTGGATCACAACATATTAATAGAGTTGATAACAATTAAATCTAATTAAGGTACGATTAATGTTGAAAAAAAACAATATTATTATTGTAAATCCGATAGAAATAAAATCATCTTATGAAACAAAAAAAACCCCCAATGTCATTTTGAACAAAAAATTAATTAAACAAAATAATTGAACAAAATTTTAATTTTGGGCGAAATAACAAAAATTAATTGAAAAACAAATAATTGAAGAAACCAATTAATTGAATAAATTAACAATATTTAATTTAGAAAAAAAAAAAAAAAAATTTAATTTGAAAAAAAAATAATATTTTTCAAACAAAATTATTTGAAATTGAAAACGTAAACGACTCATTTTTTGAGTTTACATTTTTTTATCATTCAAATTTATAAACTATTATCAAACAATTCTTTAATGCCTCAATTTTTTAAATTTTGTAACCAAGTCTCAAATTTCATTGTAAACTCGATATCAATTACTCGCGCTAAAGATCATTGTAATTCACCACTATCATACAGCTTCTCGCCTCTCTTCCTCGTGGTACTTTGTTCTTCTCTTCATGCTTTTTTGTTGCATGGGTCTTGTTAACAATGTCGAATGTTCTTCACACTGTCTATTACATCTAAAAAACATCCTTCGATAGAACCAACATTTAGTTTCTATTCCAAATCGACAACTCCTCTACACTTTCCATTTTTACAGAAAGATCATGTAGATGCAAGTCATGCACCTAAGTTATTTAAATTAATTAATTGGTTATGATGAAATGCGGAAATTAGATTACATATGCACTGTATTGATCTGTTTGATAACTGATCTAGCAAAATTTAAAATATATGTTAAATAGAATAGTAGTTTCTTCTTTTTTAAGTTATTTACAGAACCAAACCAAGCATCAGACATGCAGAAATATAGCATGGACCAATTTGGGTGTGAGTCCATGTCCATGCAAGTGTAGTTAGTTGAGTTGACTATAACTCAGCTTCAATTTGGAATAGTTTCTTTGACTCTATTAATTGATTATTCTTTTTTTAGGGGTCCAGATGATGAAAGGACAAAAAAATTTTATTTTTTTTTTTTTTTAATTTGAAGAGCTTAATTTTGTAAATCTATTTCAAACTCCAAATCCAAACATCTGAAGTAATAGATATTCTAAATAATATTTGTAAGCTTTTAAAGTGTACACATATAAACATATAAAGAAATTCCTATATTGGGTTATAAAACATCTAAATTCATGCTCACTCTATTGGATGTGGATAGCATCTAAACTGTAATCAAATTTGTGTTTTAAAGCTTTTATCAATAGAATTCTAAAACTGAACATCATCAATACATTGTGTTTACTTTCAATATTCAACCATTACTTTAGGTTTAACAGAACTAAACAATGTACCGTCAACACCAAATCATATCATGTTATAATTTTAGTTTTTACACTAAGGCTTTTTTTAAAATAATTATATAAATGTTTGCTTATAATTAATTATTAATATAAAATATTATATCAATGCCCTCTAGACAATGAGGAAGATTATGAGGAGAAATATCTTGTCTTTGAATCTCAAACTTTTTATATTTTTAGTTTCTTCATGATATTCTTCTATATAAATTTTTTTGTTTAAAATATAACAACTTCTCTTTAAAAGTTTACTCGGCGCCTTGCTTATTTTGTGTTTACTTAATATTAATATTAATAAAGAGTTTACACACAAAATTAAAAGATAAAAATTGCCTCCAATTTTGAAAATAAATGCAGTGAAATACTCTGTTTTGAAAAATAAAGTGCTCTGTTTTGAGGGGATTGAAATCATTCATCTCCAATTTTAAATTCATTAAATGCCTCTGTTGTGAAATGAGGGGATTATGAGAGAATAAAAATAATATTATTTTTATATTCAAAAAAGTCCATTAATCCACGTGAAATAAAATAGGGCAAATATTTTGGCCAATATTTTGTATATTGGCCAAAAATATTTTGTATGTTTTGGAAAAAACATTTGCTAACCAATTTTTTGTCTCTCAATACTTTTTTCATCTCAGTGGTGTTTGGGTCAGTATTTTTCATTGTATTTTCAATATGTTTGGGTTACATTTTTTTGATTCCCGCTGTCGGAATATTAAACTTCATTGAAATAAAAACTTCAATGATTTCTTTTCATTATAATCAAGAAAGCTTTTTGGAAAATGGTAAACAACATGCATGTATCTTTCCATTAAAACTCATAGAAATAAAAAGCTTCTTCATTAGTAATTCAAGCTATTTTTGGTCAATATTTTGTGTAACCTCCTTTCCTCCTTTAATGGTAAGTTATACCATTGTGTTTACTTCCCAATATCAACGATTAATTAGGTACAGAACCAAAAATGTACCGTCAACACGCAAATAATATCCATTTACATAATTTTTAAGTTATTTACACTAGATTTTTTAAACTAATTATATAAATGTTTTGGCTTTATTATTAATTATTATATAAAATAATTTATATCAAAATGCCTCTAGAACATGAGGGGATTATGGAGAGAAATGTTTGCTTTGAATCTCAACTTTTATATTTTTTTAGTTCTTCATAATATTCTGTCTAGATGATTTTTTGTTAAAACATTACACCTTCCTTCTTTTAAAAGTTACTAGGTCTTCTATTGTAGGTGATGGTTGATAGTATATACACATGAGAGAGAGTAGCTGTTTGAGTGAATGGTTTGATTAGATATATTACACAAGAGAGAGAGTAGCTAGTTTGTGCTCAACTGCGAGAGACAAAAATTGTAAAAACATAATTATTTGCTATTATACACGGAAACATATTTTTGGCTATTAGATATATTTGTATAGTAGCTGTTTGACGTAAGGTTATACACATTGTATATTTGCCTTTAAAGAAGGAAAAACATAATAGATAAAACTGGTTTTGTGTTCATTGGTTTGGTGTTCCAAAAAAAAAGGGGGGGTTAACAACAGGAAAACACAGGAAGGTTGGGTGTTCAAAAAAAGGTGTTATTGGTTTGGTGCTTCCTTGGTGTTTACTGTCAACTGTCAATGGTTTGAATAAGGTTGGTCTCCAAAATTATTTGGCTATTAATACACAGGAAAAACATAATGATCTAAATTTTCACTACATTATTTGCTATTTATATATGGTTATTTGGGACTTGGTTTGTGGTTGGTGTTCTGTGTTATAGAGATGAATGAATATTTTTTCATAAATAATTTTTTTGATATCTAGAGTTCCTAATTGAAAGAAAAATTTCAAAGAACTTGGCATTTTAACATTTATGTATAATATGGTAAAGAGTTTTGTTTTTTTTTTTGGCACTTTTTTTAAGGAGTATAGTATTCTATGTGTATTTCAAGTATTTAACTTAACCCAAGTATTTAACATAATCTGTTTTGCTTTGACTCAAATTCCCAAGTATTTAAGTTAAACCCACAAAAAATGTATTTACATTTTATATAAAAAAAAAAATAAAGATTTGAAGGGACTGTTTAACATTTGATCTTCCCCTGCAAACAAAAGAAATTAAACTGACACTCAACAAAAATTTATTTAACCATTTTTATTTGCTGTGTAATATATTTATTTAGTTGTACATTCAAATGTAATTTTATTTGCTGTGTGGTTCTATGTACAGATGATAAAAAAATTTCATTTATTTTTTGTGACATATCTAGAATTCCTAATTAAACAAAAAAATTGAAAGACTTGTGCATTTTAACATTTATGTGTATTGTAGACACGCCCTCGAGGGCCTTGCTACTACAGTCGGACTCAAATGCTTCACGATTCTGAATCTAATCCCGCAAAGTGCATGCGAGCCGATAAATGCACCAAGAGTCCAAATTCGGCAAATCGTTTTAGAAACTGATTTTTAAGAAAGAAGTGCCAAACATGGACTGCTTTTGCCAGATACAGAGTCGCTCACTCCTAAATATATTTGTTTTGAGGGATTTGAAAACCGCTGACTCGTGCCTAAGGCCAGCGTGTCCGTCATCACCAAAAGTTGCCTCGGCTCGGGAACTTGGGTACGATTGGAGAAGGTCATCTACTTGAGCAACCCCGCTCGCCAATCAAAGGTCGGCCTGTAACTCAAATATGATATCTTGGTTTTGCCAACACATGCGTTCCTTATTCCGGTTAATTAGCTATGAATTACTATGTGATGCGCACAAACACACAGTATAGACTAGATCGCCTAATTTGGAACAAAGTATCGCAATCCGTTTGTTTGGAAATGGTTGAAGGTTTGCTACTTCGCAAGTAGGGCTAAAATTGAAATTGCATCCTCGGTGGACTTAGAAAACTATTTTGCCACTCCTCAAAGTGGGCTTTAAAACTCGGCATTTCGATGAATTTTTTCAATTCAAGCAATCCAAACTTCACTCACAGGCATTCAATAGTTTATCATCATTTAAGCAATAGCCTCAAAATGGCAAGCATAGCTGACGGCAACACTCACACTATGCAAGGATGCCTAAACATAACGCATCACCGAGTAATTACCGAGCACAAACAATAGCTATTAGTAATCAATGCATGATCCTAGCTATGTAAGATGGCTAATGCAACACAATCAAAAAATGGCAACTAAAAAAGGCTCGGCTATTCTAGAATGTCATGTGAATGGCAACTTTGATAATCATGTTTCCAACTTGGATTGAAATACAAGCCAGTTAGTATGAATGCGCCAGCCCGATGCATGCAATACAGATGAATGATGCAAACATGCAAGCATAGGAAGCTAAATTGAAACATGACCTAAATAACACTGAAAAGTAGGTTAAGTAAATGGAGAAAAAAGCGTAGGGTTTGGAAGATATTCACACACGGTGATCAACGCACACTTATTACAAAATTCACGCCTCTCGCGAAGGTCCAAATAAATAATCAAACCAACTAATTAACTAACTGCAAGCTAATTAATTATTAAAAGACTTTAAACTAATTAAACAAATTAATTAAATTACAAAACAGATTTAATTATGAAACTAAAAGGGGCTATCACAGCTCCGCATCAGAATGATTGAATGATGCATGTCTCAATCGCCTCGCTCGAACCCCGTTGCCATGGCCTCATGTTGCCTCTTTTGCAACTGTTCTGCACCTCGTATAACTGTTGAAAATATCTGTGACTGTTTCTGAACCATCCCATGGATACTTTGAGAAGGCCAATCGCAAGTAGGGTGTGGCGACCGACGCAAGGAAATGTCCATCGATCAAAATATGAGGCCTATCCGGCCATCAATTTTTACGATCGGCTGGCCATTTCTTCCTGTAGGATACTCCTTTTGCTGTCAGTAAGAGGACAAACATAGCATGGCAATACATTGCAAGACAATGTTTGTAACTATATCCGCTATCATGTTTTAAGACTCAACAAGAGTGTATATGCTGACCCTCAGGCACTAATCACGCATCTCGATGCATGATGGGCTAAAGGAGCCAAGTGGTCAATCAATGTGGAAGTGATGCACACAAAACAATATAATGGCCTAGAACTCTATCATGTTTGGATCAAAGTTCCAGCGACAGGATTGAGGCACGTTCCGTTCAACTTCAAAGTACGAAACGTCCCTCGGTCCTCGTGTTTGGTTTGACTCACCTCAAACAAACACAATGCAATACACAGTGTGCCAAGTACAATGCACATGGGACATTATGCAAATGCAACAAGATTAATGGCATGCAAATCAAACCCAATGTATAATGAGCATGCAAGCAAACTGCAAAAAACAACCAAAGCAATCGGCAACAAGTATACATTAATGTCATTCAATGCAACTTATGCAATGACATCAACCAAACATCAAACATGGTAATATGCCACACATGCACAATGCAATGCAATCTAAGCATTGCAAACATATAGCGCGATAATCATGCCACACAACGTGCAAACCCATATCCATGGACTTACACCGAAGATGGACAGACCTCAGCCATGCCCTAAAATAGTGGCAAGAATGATGAAGTGAATAGAATAAATGCACAATGAACATGCATTGCAATGGTCCAAGAGTTAAGGCATAAGGTCACATCAACCAA